TTATGCCTATATAGTATTAAAATTCAAATATTTGTTCTTTTATTATTATGCCTATATATTATTAAAATTCAAAGTTCTAGAATCAAATAATGTAGCCGAACGTGTTCAAATATAAAGGTAGAGACATATTAGAATCAAAATGAAAGGAAAAAAAAAATAGAAATCTCATTTATCTCCCATTTTTTTTTATTATTTTTTTTTTGCATATTACAACTAAATTTATCAGTATTTTTATATTGACAATGGGTTTTGCAGATGGGTGTTTGCAAATATTTTTCTACTAATTAAAGTTTACATTCAAGGAGTGGTTTTGTATGTGCCCCAATTTTTTTTTATATATATATTAAATTAATGATTCAAAAAAATTGTGTCCTTGGGAAAAAGCAAGATCCAAAAAATTACTATGAGATAAAAATTGAAATAATGAATGAATATGAAATAAAAATATAATAATTAATGTTAATTTGATATAAACGTAGTAAAAAATATTGACCTGTAAAATGAGTTAATTAAAAATATATGAATAGACGAATATTATTTTGTGTTAAAAAATATGTAATAATGATGGGCAAACATTGGTTCTATATAATCAATCAAACAATAATTGTCACATGTGGATGCATCATTTTTCAAGTATCATTATTATTATTTTTACAATATCCCATATTAGATTAAAAGGAAAAATAAAAAACACATACTTACAAGCCCAATTTTCATTTGACATATAATATAAATCACCAACAACTCTCGAGTACATTAAAGGTCACTTCATTTATCACAACTTGGTACATTAAATTAGAGTCACCTACAAACACCATCCATAGTTGGCCACAAAAATATTCAGATCCCACATAGAAAGCATTTTATAGGTTTTGTTTGTTTGTATGCACCAAACCGTAAAAGAAGAAGCATCCGACAATTTATCGACAAATTAGAAATAAACGAGGCGATTAGAAAACAGACATGACAAATCTAGGAAAGTTAACATGCATTTTTCATTGCGCGGCTTGCGAAGAATGTAAATATCTGTTAAGTGAATCAAAATCACTTTTGTGAGCTTTCTGCTTTTCCAGTTAGTGCTGAAGAGAAAGAAACCGGGCTCATAGGATGGTCTTTTACAAGAAGACTGAGTACTTCGGGTCGAGAATAATGGCCCACAACGTCAAAGTCGAATTTGGCTCGTACAATTTCCCCCAAATCTGTGCACATGGAATAAATTGATTAGCAAACTGTAAATAATTTTCGAGAAATAATTCGTCATTTTGAGTATATTTCGACACGATTAGTGGGGAAAACCTGCACCATTGGAAGTTGGCTACAAATAAATTGAAGACCAAAAGCACTTTTCATAATTTTAGGGAAAGTCATCACACTTGACAAATACTAATGACATGTTTGGTAGAACTAGCTGATAGTTTAAAATGATTTTCGAACTTATATGACTTCTAGAAACTAGCTTATATAATAAATAGCTTATATAATAAAAGTGTTTTGTAAAATTAGCTGATAAGCGAGCTAAAACAATAATTTCAGCGAGCTTATTTGAAAAGCTACCCAAAGAAGCTTATGAGATAAACTCCAACTTTTTATAAGAAACCTCGTCCGACCAAACGAAACTTATTTAAATGACTCAAAGTAGATGATATGACAACATAGATAACAAACATAAAAGTCTCGCAGCAAGGAAAGTGAAGAGGGTTTGAATTTGAAATAGGTTACTTTTTTTTTTTTTTTGGATTTTTTCCATTTC